GTGAAATGAATCTCTATTGTCTTGTACGGACGCTGAGCTAACGTTTGACGCGCCTTCGAGTCTCCGTTGATGAATTTTCTTGACCGGACCTTTTTTTTAGTTGGGCCTTTTCTTTTGTTACAAGGCCCATTAAATTTTGTTTGGAAAATGAGTGAACAATATGTTTTTATTAAGGTAGACAAATAATAATTGAGCAATGAGTGGACCCAACTCTTGAGCTACTTGAAAACAAAAGATATGATACAAAAAAAAGTGGTCGCTTTTTGGTGGGACTATAGATTAAGATTGAGGTATTGGCAAATACAAACTGAGAATTGATTTATCAAACATGTAGTGATAATACAAATTATTCTTATGATTAAAAAAATATACAATATAAGTATGGTGAGATTCGAGATTTTGGGAAGAGATACAAAATGGGCTTAAGTGATTGAATATACCCCACCAATCAATTATTGCTTTGAACCATTTTATTCTGTTGCGAAAATGTATAAATTATAAATTTCATAATGGATCGAGACATTCTATTCTACCACTTGATGCCTCTCAAACTTGAAAAGAGCCACCAGCATATGACTATTTTTCACTTCCCACTTCGTCTCGTTTCTCGAAATTGCTTTGAACAAATTCATAATATTAGCCAAATATTAATGTTAGTTGAAAATATTACAATTATCGATTATGTTATTTTTCATCTTCATTTTAGCTTTCTCAACCAGAAATACAAGATACCATTGGAGATTAATAAAATTGGGTGAATCAAACGTAGGCCTTTGTAATTCTTTTTTATTTATAAACTATATACTTCTAAGATAAACATGTACTTACTAAAAGCATTTGCTGAGCTCATTCTCTATGATGAGCATTAAATTAAAATTATCTTAAGTATGTGGTAAAGACTCACATAGCCTAATAAAGACAAACAAAAAGTAGACAGATCTCTGTGGTTGAGGTTTTAAATATGGATGCAACTTAAGGATGATGCTACTACTTTGTCTTTCCTTTTTGAAGTTTAATGATTATTAATTTGCCATTAAAAGAAATCATTTTCGCTATTAGTATAATGCACCACAGAGACCGTCACTATCATTTTTTGGCAACCATTTTCTCATTCATACTCATTATTGATAAACGGCCTTTTATTAAATTATGAAAGTTAATACACAAAGACTCATTCGTATAAACTAGTTTTTCATCGAGCGTAATATAAAATCGAAGTTGAAATTTACAAATAACAAGCTTCCTTGTTCTACTAGAGAACTCCAATAATCTCTTGCAAAAGAAGTTGTGTTGAATTTATTAATTTACCAATTACAAACGTAAGGTACATCTCCTCTTTATGTATACACATACATAAATACATTCAATTAGTACAAGTTTTTTGTTGTCAATCATATAACCCCGATTTTTTTTTTTAATTTTCCTATTAAACAAATATTGGTACAGTTAAGTGACGGCATAAAATTAAATTAAAAGAAGATATAGCAAGCGTGTGGCGAACCGAACAACCACTTGGCTCCTACGTGGCAGATAACTAACGGTTACAATTGGTTCGTGTGTTACACGCGATGTAAGAGCGCGTGGTCTTGAGTCCAGCTAGGTGGAGACCAATCAAGGAAAGACAACAGTACACACTTCTCTACTCTTTCCTCGATGGCGATTCGTAAGCCTCCGTAGCCAAA